TAATGCTTTTAGAAGTGAAGAAAGTTCATTAAAATAATTATAGACTCTTCATTTTTTTCTTGGAGGAGTCATAAACACGCCGGCTCTATTTGAAAAAAAATCAACGGGTGCATTTATGATAATACTCACAGTGAATTTCACCGATTGCAGCTTTGAAGGTCTTCTTCTGATATTTTGCGCTTGAGCAATTTCACTTTCCTCGTTGTATGTCTTTATTGGGGAGATGATATCAGATATGAGACGAAGTTTTTGCCGTCTTTGAATATTGAATATTGCGCGCTTAATAGACCTGTGTACTACGTAATAAACCTGTGTACTACGCAATAAACCTGTGTACTACGTCAGCAACATGTGCTTGATTCTCATAATTTCGTGTAATTCCGTTGTTTTTGCCGTCAATACAATGACCATACATGCCATAATCTTTAGACTCATTTCCGAGACACTTTTCATTTGAAGGTGGGGCATTGATCAGCAAATGTATTTTTTTTTAATTTACATAGTGGCATACAACCTATAGGCCCTATTACCGGTAATTACAACTTGCAAATTTAATGACACCATAAACAAAGTCAGAATGTCAATAATTATTAACAGTTTTTCTATCTTTTAAAGTATTTAGGCATCGTAAATTCAATCAACCACAGAATAGAATAAAGATATGATAAGTAATGACAATTAGCCATGTCGTTTACCTGAAACATTCACTGAATCTTGTAGATTTTATCACCTCATATTTAGCGCGTATTTTTCACGGTGTTTGACCACTAATAAAATTTAATTTATAATGGCCAGTTGGCCAGTGTATGACACCTTCACTGGGGTAATTAATCTTTTATTTGATCAAAATTATTGCCGATAATTGTTATTTGGAAGGGGCACGTTGATATACCAATCAAAGGATAAGTGTCACCATTGCAAAGCTGTTCGGCCACTTAGGGGATAATCGTTCCTTATTAGCGTTCTAGATAAGTTTACAAAAACTTGACAATAAAATTATATAAAAAAGTAAAATTTCTTGCTTCAATGTAGATTATTTTAGATTTTTTACCGGGACATAAATCATCTCCAAGACAGACACCTTATTTCCGGGATTGTCCTGGACACACGGGACGTTATGGCATGTATGACAATGACTGAATAATTTCAATTAAAACATTGAGGCCTACAAATTTTATTTCACAAACCTATTATTTTTAGCCCAACAGGCACTTGAATTTCAAACAAAGCTACCATAGTTTCCAAAAAATTTGTGTTGCTACGTCAGTATAAGTATCCAATATATGGATAGATGAGTTGGTTGAGTAAAAAATGGGGAATTTTATTAAAGAAGTGACTGATTGAATTTCCATGGTCAAGCAATAAAAAAAAATACTGATGTCTTTATTTTATGCAAAAAAATGTTTTGGGCCTGTGCTAATCTACCCAGGTCTATATCTTTTCTTGACCAGTTATCATTCTATTTCTGTAGTTATTTAATAACAATTAAATCATGAACACAATCATGGTCTTCATCAAAAGTTCTTCAGAAATTCATTAACCAATGTATTTAGGTCATCAAGTGTTCTTGAGCAGTAATCATTTCTATTTCAGCAATTATTAAAGGACAAATCATGAACTCATGGTTTTCATCAAAAGTTCTTCAATAGTTTGTGACATTATTAAAGGACAAATCATGAACCCATGGTTTTCATCAAAAGTTCTTCAATAATTCATGATCCTAAGTTCATGAACCTTTAAAGAATTCGGTTTTGTTCTTTTTATGTCAATGAACAGTTCATGAACAAGCTTGTAGGACCAGTTCATGAACTGTTCTTAAATGTATTGAAAAGTTCATGATTTCAAGAACACTATTTCACAGGGGTCCCAACCCTTTGGTCTTTCTGCACGCAAGCATATACTCTTCAAGTACAATGTAGACCTAAGCTTGTTATCAAGTTAGGATATTGCTGAATTAAGAAACAAACTTACAATTAATGATTATTATTAGACCACTTTGTTTAAGTAAATGTCTAAATATAATTAGAAATGACAGTGGATTAGTCTGATAACATGGTATGATATTAGTTATGTGATGTACCTTACATGTACATGTATTGTACTTTTGATGTACTTTTGATAGTTATAATATGCTTATTATATATACAAGTTGTACACATACAATATTGCTATGATGCACTACAAGGTATTAAGTGAATATTAGTGTGCATGAATTATATTTTCCTAAAAGCATTTAAATAAAACTTGTAAAAACTGCAGCTTCTGTCACAATCTTTTAGCTTAAAAAAATGGTTCAAGAAAATAACTTGTAAAAAATGGTAATGTAAGTATTGTTTAACATCACCATTTATTTTTAAATGTTGAAAAACTGGTAAAAAATGCTGGACACAAGTTTTTTAACAACAAGTTTTTACCAGTTTTTTAAGAACTGCTGTTTAAATGGAATCCTACAAATTAAGATGAAGGGCAAAAAATTGTAAAAAAGGCATTTATTTGAAAAAACTGCTAAATAACTGCAATATAACTACAAGTTAAATGCCTTTCCTTTTCCTAAGGGTGATTGAAAAGTGGTTGTGAAATTTTGAAGAACAGGAAAATGGGTCAGTAATGATTTGTCCTGGATTCATAATAATAATTCAGGTAAAATTTTAAAAAGTTGGTGCATTTATTAGCTAAAATGATAATATTCGCAGAATTGAAAGAGAATTTTTTTTAATATAATTTCACTGTCAGTTATTGTAGAACAATCTGTAAGCTGATCGGAAAGAGGCAGTACGGGGATATTTAAGTCGCGGTGAAAATAGATCTATAAGCACTTTTTAACTAAATAAAGGTTGGTCCCAGCAAGAGCAGGACGTGGGGCGGTTGCACACTTTGGTTAAAAGCGAGAAGATTGGTTGCAAACTTGAATAAAAGGCTACGGAGTACGGAGTCATGGATATTTAGTATTTAGTATTTTCTACTGGAAGGTGGGTTTGTATGTTATTTTGATATTTGTTTGATATTTACTTTTCTAGCTTCTGATTTGACGAAGTTATTGAAGAAATAAAACGGACATGTTCATTTTTTTGTGATTTGACAAGTGACTATCCTTGGCGGTTTTTATGCTCATTCATCCACATCTGTAAGGTTTGAAGTTCACCAAACAAGACAAAATATGATTCTGTCAATACAGTGTAAATGTGTGAATTTGCATGTTCCAAGTAAAGTTTTGATACACAATTTAAAACACAATGTGAATTGACATAAATGTTTTAACCAGCTTGGAAAACTTTCTTAGAAATGGCAAGCATATCTGTTTGCTCGTGGTAGTTTTTGGAAATTCATTTGCACCAAACATGTCGACCTCACAATTTTAAGGTAATTTTTCACATTTGGTAATTCATTTATCGTAAATGAAGATAGATGGCTGTTATTGAAAGATAAATCTATTGTGCTATGTTTGTATGTTTAAGTATACATGTATGTCTCTGGCCTCTGTAAGTTTATTATGTTTTTGTTTTTTTTTTAATTTAGGTGAAAAACGTTTTTTACTCAACCTATCATATATGCATGGTAACCTTCTTTAAATATAAATACCATGCATGACAAGTGCATTGTCGTACGTTTTATGGTTTTTGAAAACATTGTTTGAATTGTGTGAAAATTACAAATGCAGCTTTAGTAAGTGACACGAGACGGAATAATTTTGTATCAAAATGAATGAAAATAAGCTTTCTTCCTTCACTAAAAACACAAAACCAAGAAAAATATTGACATCTTTTATCCTAGAAGTCCATATAAAATCTTGCTGAAAGATCTGTAGAGTAAAAAAGTTCTTTGCAGATGTACAGAAAGTAAAACAAACATTTCTGGATAGAAAGTCACACAAAAACAAAATAGTAAGTTTCACGCATGGTTTCTTATATTTACATATACATTGAAAAGAAATTAATGAGTATTTGAAAACAGTTAAAAGCATCGCCCGTCCAAAATTATCTCTATGTCTCTTTGACTAGTCTAATAGTGGACTACTATAAAAAAGAGTGCTACAAGTACATGTATAAAGAAATATTAACAAATATTTTCATCATATTCTCAGTGAGCCAAACTGTTTTAAAAAGCATCAATGAATGACAATGATATGACATGACACATCCATCAATGTACTAGTTGAACATTCAAGTATAACCCTCATCTATTAAACTGTCTACCTTGCCTTTGCCTGCGACAAGTTTTCATAATGTGCCACAGAAGTGTGCCTAGTTATTTCAAAATTGATTCTCGGATAACAGTACTTTAATGAAATTATAAACTTTATAAGTCCTAGCGTGACCTTGATTGTTTTAAAGAAGATAAATTTAACAAAGTTATTACAAAATCTGTTACTGAATGACAAAAAAAAAGATAGCAACCAATGCACTGTTTTATCAGGACTTCTGGCATTCAAGTATGAACTTGACCTTTGGGCTGTTGAGCTAGAACTTGCATATGACACATTGTTCTAATGTGTTACAATTTTATAAAAAAAAATTCAAATCCATCTACAAATGTATAAATGACAAAATTATGGACAGGACAAAATTCCGATGGAGGGACGAAACAAAAACTGTATGCTACCACATTGGTTAGATGGGGAAGGGCATAATAAAGAGTGGGTAAGAAAGTTTTTGAAGCCAACTTGAACCTTCTTAATTAGAGAGAGGATCGAGTCACCAAGATCAATAAAGGAGTCCACAAAATGTAACATTACTTAATATATTTCCCCTAAGTAAACTATCAAATATACATTGTAAAGACTTCAAAGTTGAAATACTTATTTTCTATCAAAAGCAGGTAATTCTTGCAATTAGCTCCCTTCCTTACTTTTATCATACTATCCTGCACGGGGCTATATACGCCTGATGTTCCAGCTGGCCAGATGGTATGCTTGTGGTACATGTACATGCTATTGTTGTAGGTCTTAACCCTTAACTGCTGATCAAGGGATGTTACCGCAGTGAGGAAATTGGTCAATTCAGTTCTGGTGGAGTAAAGTTTACTTTATTTCTATTTTATTCTATTATTAACTTTTTTCTCAATTTACAGAAAACAAAGCAAAATGTGTACATAAATATAAAAACACCATTCTCCGTAATCCACTGGTATGAAAGCCATTTAGGCGAAAAAAAATTACAAAATATTATGTTTAAACTTATTGTTGTACAATGTACAGTCTTAACACAAGTATGAACATTAACTATCGTCGCTTTTTCGATTTTTTAATATTTCCAGGAATTTCAGGATGATCTTTTTTCTCATGCATTTTTAAAGCTTTTTGATTACGAAAAACAATATCACAATGTGAACATGCCACTGTGTTTTCCATCCCGTGAACTTTGACATGTTCCTTTAGCTGAACATTCCATGCAGCTGCAAACTTGCATTGTGAACACTTATATGGTTTCTCCCCAGTATGTGTTCTCATGTGAGACTTTAGCTGGTATTTTTGAACACATGTAAATGTACATTTGTCACAAAAGTATTGATGATCACCTGCAAATATACATGTATGAACAAATTAATAATGTGAACTTAAAATTACCAAATCATTATTGTTAAAGAGACTCCATAGAGGTTTTTGACCAATGACTTGCAAACAATATTCCCTATCTTTTGCTCACTCTGTATTTCTTGAATAATCATTGGCAAAATCACCTGAAAATGGAAATCAATTAATCATCTTGTATCAAATATAATTATCAGTGTCAGAATTGTTTGATTGAAATCTAAGTACATTTCTCCATTATCTTTTGTTTATATGCCCATTTTAAGTGTCTTAGCAAAATATCTAAATTTTGGCTTTTGGACCTCATTGGAGTTGCATTAAAGTGGCAATATTGCTACCAGATAAGTACAATATTATGTGACCTTGACCTTTGACCTCAAAATCAGTAAGGGTCATCTACTGGTCATGAACAATCATCATAGTTTGAAGTTCCTAGGCCTAAACGATCTTTACTCATTGATAGGAAATCTGAATTACCTACAAGGTCAATGTGAACTCGACCTTTGACCCCTTGACCAAAAAATCAATAGGGGTCATCTTCTGGTCATGTACATAATATACCAAATTTGAGGTTCCTAGGCCTAAGCAGTCTTTAGTTATTGATCTGAAACTGTTTCTACCTAAAAGGTCAATATGACCTTGACCCCTTGATCCCAAAATCAAAAGGGGCCATCCACTGGTCTTGAATAGTCATCAAACCAAGTTTGAAGGTCCTAGGCCTAAGAGCTCTTTAGTTATTGATCAGAAACCTTTTTTACCTACAAGGTCAATGTGACCTTGACCTTTGATCCCAAAATCAATAGGGGTCATCTACTTGTCATAAGCAATCATCATACCATGCTTGAAGCTCCTAGGCTTAAGCAATCTTTAGTTATTGATCAGAAACCATTTGGTCTATGAACTGACCGACAGACAAATGCAAAGCAATATACGCCAACTACTTTGAAGAGGGACATTAATCATAAAAGAGCCATTATTGACAAAAATCAGTTAACCAGAATATGCTGACTTGGCACTGGTCATTCCTGTAAAGTTTGCAGTAGTTCTTGTGGAGTAGACCTGACAAGTTTTGTGACAAACAGACAGACAGACAGATGATCTAACAAAACAGTTCTAATGTGGCAATTCTAGTGTTCTCGTTATTGTTCTTTCAGCCACATAAAAGTTTTAATAACATTAAAGAGAATGTACAGTTACCTATTGTTCCTGTAGCCGCTAAATTATCCTAATGTAAGCTGGGAAGGACAAACACCAAGACACCAAAGAAATGATTCCAATAAATAGCCACGTTTCTTTGTAGCATGTTTCACTCAGCTTCTGTGTAGCTGGCAACATAAAAGTCATCAACAGGCCAAAAACCTTTTTTAATAAAGGGTAATAACTCAGCTAAATATCATTCAACCTTAAAACCCATGTAATATGCGCAAGAACCATGAGCTACCAATTAATCCTGTAAAGTTTAACTGAAATTGCATTTGTGGTATATGGGAAGTATTCTAGAAAACTTTAATACGGGCAAAATGCAGGTAGGTACTGATCATTCATGAAATTTCAACTGTAGTTTTTGAGGGGTAGTCCAGACAAGTTTTGTGACCCTTTAGACCTGCTGAATTGAAGACATTCAAATTTTATGTATTCAGGCTAGGTGGAGTGGTCATTTTAAGTTTTTTCTATGTTCAGCTCTAGGTGCCATCTTGTTCTACAGACCAGAACCATGTGTGCAATTTGTATAGAGGACCGACTAAAGATGGCAAAATGAAAAGCTGTTTTGACATGTAGCTGTACATACATTTACATTTGGCACAATGTCATTTTAAAGTAAAGAAAAAGCTGAATCTGGGGTACAACAAACTTACTTCTATGACTCAATTCATGCTCTTTAAGTCTCTGGGCACATTTTGCAGAATATGGGCATGTAGAACACTGGTAATTTCTCACATTCATGTGTATAGATTCTATATGTTTCTTTAATCCACTCTTTGTTGACAGGCATACACCACATACCTGGCACTGATTTGTGACCTTGCAAGAACTTTGATGATCTCTGAAGTATTCCAAACTTAAGTGACTGTAATCTGTAAAAGCAGATCATTGCTATAAGTCAGTGAATAACATGTCTATGTTCACAGGCGCTTGCGGGTCAGATCCTGATTTAAAATAAATCAACAGTGTTTATTCTAGGATTCGAAGAACAGACGGATTTTTTTCGAAAGGTGAGAATTTATTACATTTCAAAAACTGAGTGAATCCCCCCATCCCCCTCCTAGAATAGACACTACATCCAACTTGCCAAAATAAGTTAACCATACAATACTATATTTTTAAAGTGTTAAAAAAGAGGTAGTCTGGTAAGCAAAATAACTAAGAAAATGGATGGCACATATAAGTATAGATATACCAACATGCTGGTTTAGGTTAAGCATATCCATTTTCAAAGTGATAAAATAGGCATTAACTTAAAAATGAAAGCCATAGTTACCGGTATATTTCTTGCACAGATCATGAACTTAGCATTGTTAAGTAAGTGTATAAATTATTAAACCATTGGCACAGGTCGAACTTGCCATTTTAGGTTAACCTCCTACGGTCATCCGGACAGTTCAATTCCTATATGCCTATAGGCATAAAACATAAAGAATGGAATATACCAGCAAAAGGCTGGATTCTATTTATGTTTGCAGATGTTAAATCAAACAGAGAAAATGAAAAATGATTACCAGATTCACAGATGAAGCAATACTTGACAAGGTCAGTATGTACTGTTCTATGATGCTTCTTTCTTCTACTATTTGTAGCAAACTTTTCATCACAGTAACTGCATTTAAACTGAGGGTCACCGTGCTTCTTTCCCATATGTGACAATCTAGCGTCTGATGTGTACAGAACTATGCCACATATATCACAAATAAACTGTTTATTTCCAGATGCATGTCCAACAGAAAACTTATGCTTTAATAACACAAATTCAGAGTTACCTACATAAGAACATTTGTCACATTCCAGGACCTTATTCACATGTTTTTCAATATGTTCCTCAAAAAGATCTCTAGCTGTGGACTTGAAATTACCACATATTAAACATTTGAATAATTCTTCTGTTACATCAACATTACGATCTTTTCTTGCAAATGATTTGACAATTTCTTTACTGTACTTGTCCTGATGCTCATCTAGTTTTATATGGACCCATGACTTTTTCCTTTTCTTACAATTATTACCAACTGATTTACCAAATTTTCTTTTTCTCTTTCTCATATCTTTATTCTTACATTCTGTCAAGCTATCACCTTCATTCTCTAGTGTGTAGCTTTCCTCATCATCAGTTTCAGAACTATCATCAATTTCATCCAAATTTTCAAGACATTCAATTTCATCAGGAAAAAAATCAGGATCTTTTACTTTCCTTTTAGTTTTAAAATCATTTTTAAACTTATCATCTTCTGTCACTGTAGTGTCAGCAGGAGAAGTATGCTGTCTTCTTCCATGTATATGTTTGTCCTCCTTTGTAACCACAATTTCAGATACATTATCATCACTGTTTTTCTCATGGTCATTTATCCAATCCAAGCTTGCATAATTAGGCCTGTAACCCCGTGACTGAACTCTTGAGCTTCTCCTTCTGTTTCCTAATTCTGCATTATCTTCAGTAGAAGTAGCATCTTCAGTTATCTTGATCATTTTCTTATCAGCTTTAAGGTAATTCATTATATTTTCAATTTCTGTGTCAGACTCTGATTCCTCACTAACACTTTCTTCTCCCTCACTAACATATTCTTCTTTCACATCTGGACATTCTGGTGACACTTCTCTGCATGGTTCACTAGATAAAATATAAGCTAAAAAGTTTTACACAAATTTTACAATAGGAATCAACAACATCAGATTTTATGCAAGCATGATTTTGCAGAGGCAGCTTCAACGGTGTTTATTTCGTTTAATGCTGCAGCACCAGAATGATAGGTCATATGGCAACTTTCAAGCTGAACTAGTAGAGAAAGACCTCTTTTGGACCTCTCTAAAGTTCCTTTCAATATGCAATGTGACAGAACTGTAGGGTTTATTTTTCAAGATTTTTAAACTGAATTTAAATGTGTTATTCTGTTACAATAAAATATTCATAACTGCTAAAGATTTGCAAATTTCTTTAAACCTACGAGTCATAGTCAAATCAGATATAAACTGAAAACTAAATAAATGCATATGCATCATCACATGTTTTGACTTTAGATTAGATATGTTATATAAATCTAATATTTCATTTTTTTATTTGAAAGATTGAAGAACAAAAAGTGTAGGGTGTGATCTGTTTGCCCTATGCAGAATGCACATGCATGAGAAAATACTGTACATGTTTTGCATAGCAATGGGCTGAGTTGTAAGGTCTATACCCCTAAGGGCAATAATCAATACCAGAGTTATGCATCACGTCTTAAGTTTTAAGTGAATATTTTTTTTAATTTTTTAAATTATTGTTACATGCATAACTTTAACAAAGAATTTTCTAAGTATAAAACAAGAGAGTCATGATGGCCCTAATACTGCTCATGTGAATACATATACTCTCCATGACAAGCAACAAGTAATATTGTACACTATAAATAAAAGCAGATAAAAAATCTAAATCTTAAACTCCCATCACAAAGTTCGAAAATAGTGCACATGTAAAAACATTACTGGTTGTTATTGCTTAGGAAAAACCAAACAATAACATAAGAAGTCTTTTGTTGCTGTACAAAATAATGGTTTCCTTGTATGTTATAAAACCATAAACATTGTGTTACATGGTCTTCATATAGGACATAACTGCACTTTAAATTACATTTACAGAAGTAACACAATGTAAGTTACACAGGGATAATTCAAACTTACAGCTAGCTTTGGCTTATCAGCAATTAATGTGGTCAAGATGTGTATTCCTGCATTCACCATAGTAAATTGTTGTATTTACAACTGAAGCTATGTGCTTGTTTATACAATATCCTATGTAGTTCAATTTATTTTACAGCCATTATTATTGACATTTATGTAGGCCAATTTTGACGACACCAGGACTTTTATTTGAATAATTTGGTAGACACCTAGAAAATGTTTCATGCCAAATATCTTAGCTCTAGCTCTCTGGGTTTTTTAAAAGAAGATATTTTAAGTTTCTTCTTTCTTCATGGAACTCAATTCTTTTAACAATTTATTAGGTGAACACCAAGGGAACATTCCTGTGAAGTTTGGATGAAATTGGTAAGCTGTTTATGAGGAGATGTCGTTTAAAGTGGAAGGATGACAGGTGGAAGTTAGATGAAAAGTGATCACAAAAGCTGACCATGTCACTTTGTGATAGGTGAGCTAAAAAAACAATAATTCAGTTAACTTCTATTATGATTTCAAAAACATTGTTAATATTTGAGACGTGCCATGATAAAACCAACAAAATGGGTTTGCGACCAGCATAGATCCAGACCGCGTCCGCGCAGTCTGATCAGGATCCATGCTGTTCGCTGTCAGTTTTTCTACTTGTTATAGAGTTTGTAAGCGAACAGCATGGATTCTGATCAGACTGCGTGGATGCTGGTCTGAATCCATGCTGGTCGTAAACCCATTATGTTGGTTTTGTCATGGCCCTGCTCATTTAGGTTTCAACCAAATATCTTTAGTGGCTCATGAGATTTGATGTTGTACAGAGAAGTTGCATGAAAAGCTTTAACCAATACTAATTGTGATGCCCATGCAAGGAGTGTAGAGGATAACCTAGCTATTCTTCAAAAATTGAAGACCTTTAAAGAGCAGTCTTGTTCTGACCCTATGTTGTTTGCTTCACAAGTTCGTTATTTGGATATAATATTCCTTATTACTTACATGACAAGTCAAATTAAACGTAACAGTAACAATCATTCCATACCTGCTAATTTTGTCTGACTGATCTGTCATTATTTCTTGCTTCACTAGTACCTCATTCAAAGTGTCAGGAATCACATTCATAGAAGCATCTTCAACAAGGAACTTATTCCCTAAGTCCTCAGCCACAGGAGCATCATTTCCAGGGGCAGGAGCCTTTTTCACATAAGCATGTTCAACAAGGACTTTATTCTTGAAGGCCACAGTGGCAAGAGCCTTATTCACAAGGACATCTTCACCAAGATACTTATTCCTGATGGTGTTATTCACAGAAGCATCAGGGACATCTTCCATAAGATAATAACATTTATTCATACAACCCTCACTTAAAGGAGCTTCATTCACAGAAGCATCATCCACGGGACACTTATCCAAGGCCTCAGTCACAGGAGCTTTATTCACAGAAGCATCTTCCATAAGGTATTTATTCAAAGCCTCAGTCCAAGAAGTTTTATTCACTGAAGCATCTTCCTCAGGATACTTATTCAAGGCCTCAGTCACAGAAGCCTTATTCACAGAAGCATCTTCCATACGGTACTTATGCAAAGCCTCAGTCCTAGGAGCTTTATTCACAGAAGCATCTTCCACAAGGTACTTATTCAAGGCCTCAGTCACTGGAGCTTTATTCACAGAAGTATCTTCCATAGGATACTTATTCAAGGCCTCTGTCCAAAGAGCCTTATTCACAGAAGCATCTTCCACAATATACTTATTCAAGGCTTCAGTCACAGGAGCTTTATTCACAGAAGCATCTTCCACAAGGTATTTATTCAATGCCTCAGTCACAGGAGCCTTATTCACAAAAGCATCTTCTACAAAGTACAAAGAACTTTTCCTGGAGGTGTTATTCACAGAAGCGTCATTCACAGGGGCATCTTCCACAAGATAATTCCATGTACTCCTGATGGGCTCAGTGACGGGAGCCTTATTCACAGAAGCATCCTCCACAAGATACTTATTCATGGAGGTCTCATTCACAAAAGCCTCATTAACATTAGCACTTTCCACAAGGTTCTTATGCATTGAGGTCTCGTTCACAGGTGCCTCAGTCATACCAGCTTCCTTCTTCACGACCTGAATTACTTGGGTCTCATTTACAGGAGCCCGTTGACTAGCTTTAGAGGCATCCCAAAGTTTCGGTATGTAGTCAGCTCTGTCATGCCTGGAGATTGCATTATAATATGATAGAAAAATGCAAAAAGTTTAGTTCTTTATGTAACATGTAAAAATAAGTTTTCTTGATAGCATTTATTTGTTATAGTGTACAAGTATTTCAGGGATATACCTAATTGAAGATTTTGAAACATAGCAGGTGAGGCTTTCAAATAAAACACTTAAATCAGTAAAACACTTAAATCAGAAAGCAATGGAATGTAAATCATATTGATACACTGCATATCGCTCAAGTTTTTCAAATGTGACAATTATTCCTAATTCAAAATGCTAATTACTATTGAATGTTTAAAATCAACTGTTAGCAAATTTTTGAAAAATCAGTCTGCAAACAGATTCAAAGAGAAAATGGGTCAAAGACAGAAATGGCCGGGTTGCATTTGTACACCAAATATCATGAGTCTGTGATGTTACGAAAAGAAATTTCCATTGACCTATTAATGTCGAAAATTTAATTCAGTAGGTAAACAGGAAGTGGACTAGCTTCACACCTAAAATCGAATCCCACAGTATGGGACCATGTGTCAATGCTGTATGCCATATATCAAGAGGCTGTGATTAGTAGTTTCTGAGAAAAATGTTACGAAAATTTCCTACCATTGACCATTAATGTGAACAGGAAGTTGATGAGCTGCAGACTTGAAATCGAATCCCACAGTATGGGACCATGTGTCAATGCTGCATGCCAAATATCAAGAGGCTGTGATAGGTAGTTGCTGTGAAAACTGTTATAAAAATTTCGTACCATTGACCATTAATGTAAAAAATCTAACTAATTTAACTAAGTGGATAAACAGGAAGTGGATGAGCGACAGACCTGAAATCAAATCCCACGGTATGGGACAATGTGTCAATGCTGTATGCCAAATATCAAGTGACTGTGATAAGTAGTTGCTGAGAAAACTGTTACGAAAATTTCCTAGCATTGACCATTAATGTCGAAAAATCAAACTAATTTAACTAAGTGGATAAACAGGAAGTGGATGAGCGACAGACCTGAAATCAAATCCCACAGTATGGGACTATGTGTCAATGTTGTATGCCAAATATCAAGAGACTGTGATAAGTTGTTGCTGAGAAAACTGTTAAAAATTTCCTACCATTGACCAATAATGTCGACAAATCTAACTAAGTTAACTAAGTAGATAAACAGAAAGTGGAATGAGAGACAGACCTGAAATCAAATCCCACAGTATGGGACCATGTGTCAATGCTGTAAGCCAAATAACAAGAGGCTGTGATAAGTAGTTGCTGAGAAAACTGTTACGAAAATTTCCTACCATTGACCATTAATGTCAAAAAATCTAACTAATTTAACTAAGTGAATAAACAGGAAGTGGATGAGCGACAGACCTGAAATCAAATCCCACAGTATGGGACAATGTGTCAATGCTGTATGCCAAATATCAAGAGGCAGTGATCAGAAGTTGCTGAGAAAACTGTTACGAAAATTTCCTACCATTGACCAATAATGTTTAAAAATCTAACTAATTTAACTAAGTGGATAAACAGGAAGTGGATGAGAGACAGACCTAAAATCAAATCCCACGGTATGGGACCATGTGTCAATGCTGTAGGCCAAATATCAAGAGGCTTTGATAAGTAGTTGCTGAGAAAACTGTTACGAAAATTTCCTACTATTGACCATTAATGTCAATAAAATCTAACTAATTTAACTAAGTGGATAAACAGGAAGTGGATGAGCGACAGACCTGAAATTGAATCCAACGGTAAAGGACCATGTGTCAATGCTGTATGCCAAATATCAAGAGGCTGTGTTACGAAAGTTTTTTTCCCCGCCCGCCCGCCCGCCGCCCAACATTCACCATACTATAACCCGGGTTTGCACCAGTGCAACCCGGCCAAAAATGGGAAAAAAAAAACATTTGCCAAAAAAGAATATTCCTGTATTGCATATGATACGATTATTTAAACATTATTATGAACACATTGTTTTTCAGGAATCTGCTAACATCCAAACATTTAACATAAGTTTTATTGTTACCATGCATTCATCAGCACATTTGCAAATTGACTGTTAGAATTAACTTGAAGAGAACATTGCAGTTCTCTCCAGCGCGCCCATACATCAGTTTGAAGTGTAATTATCCTATAACTCTCATGCTTCGGTATGTTTCTTCTCTTCAAATATCTAGAAATATGACCGCCATACCTAATTTGTTGATCAAGCTGATGTAAGCTGCAAAAAATACATTTTCTTTATTATTTTGCTTTTAAATACAGTCTATTATAGAACCCAGCAAATACAAAAGTAGTACAGTAAGAGGCAGCATTTACTTCAGCCCTGACATGGGTTCGGACCACTTCCAAACCCCTCACAACATAGGCAGACCTTCTACCACATCACTATATAAAAGCTTGAGCAGGGACAAGTAAAGCACCTTTGATTGCTATTAATCTACATAAACATTCTCCCGTTTGCCAAGTGAATATTCACACATTTAGCTTTTTATTTAGGGACATGTGTATAAGTCATTTTTATCCTCCCCAGCCCAAAGATGGGTACCATTGTTAAAGACATAAAAAACACTAGAGACGTAAAATACTTCTTTAGTATTTTCTTTCCTTTCTGCAAAAATTTCATGTTATTATCCAAAAAATTAAGGGAATTGCCACTTTCTCTATCAGTGAAAAAAATCCTGAATAACTTATAGTAGTAAGAACATGAAAACAAGAAAATTTGCAGAACACAGCTGTACCTTTGGATCAAAAGTCGAGCAAGGTCCTCATCTGATTTACAACATTTCTTTGATTTGATTTTCATCCATCTCCCTGTCATTGAACCTAGATTCACAAATTTTCTTTGCATTTTCGGCATAAAAAACCTTTTTCTTTGTCCAGGACATTTACCATCATCTTGTGAAGATTGGTCAAACATCTTCTATTGGAAAATAAAATATATCTAATAACAATTAATTGCAAATTAAAGCATTATCCAGTTACTACTAATGTGTGCAAAGAAAATATAGAAATTTAAAACATGTGCCGAAAAGAATTGTTATAGAGTTTAAACTACTGATGTATGTGTTTTAAACATAAAATAATGGTAGTCACAGTAACCTTACAGTTGTTTTGTTTAGGGTTGGATACCAACAACAAGTACTTAGACCATATCAAAAACCATTTCATAATTTACCAGTAAATGTACCGGTTTTTTACAAATGTAGTTTAAGCACCAGATGTCTCTGTACTAGTAAATGCAATATCACTTCTATCCAACTCTTACAAGGACAACAAGCAAAATATTTTTCTCAAAATATTTTCTGAAGCAGCAAAGATATTTTTAGCACAAGGTTTCTAAGATGTCTGGGTACTTAGTACCTCATATCTGAGATTTCTGTGTATCAGTAAGTATTTACAACTTTGTTTACACTCTCCTACGGACAGGACCAGACTGAATCTTTCACACTGTACATGCTCTATTTATAGTTATACACTGGTGAAGCATCATCCCCAGTGAATACAAGAATTTGTAACAGAGTTACCAACGTCCTCCGCCTAAAGTTAGTTTTGCATGAAGCACAAAATTGTGCTATTTCAAAAAATTGAGGTATGGATCTGGACTTTCAGTGCAAAATTTTGATCAATGTTAGATCTGTACCACAGGGGACCAACACAGTGTTTGGATGGTATATACTGCTTGATGGTGACCTTAAAATGAGATTAAAGTGATAACCTTATTATATGTATATAAATATAGATTTATACACATATGATAAGGTTATGACTTTAAAGATCCTGTATGTTTTGTGATTGATATTGTTACTGTGTGTATACCACATTTGCAAAAAATTATATATGTATATAATTATGCAAATAAAACGATTTTCACACATCAAAGAATATGTAAAATGTGTACTGCACATTATATTTAATCAATAAACTACATGCATTCATTTCTTATTGGAAAATTTGACTTAGAATTTATAGAAAATAAATTCCTAATTGCCTCCCTTTATTTACATGAAATGTTAAGTTGGGTAATATCTTTATCAATAATGCTTATTGGAACTTACAATATTGACAAATCTTAATTTAAGCATCATATTTATGAAATAAAACCATGACAAAATTGTGTTACAGGACCTTTAATCTCATTTTCAGGTCACAATCAAGAATTATATACCATCCAAACACTGTGTGGGCCCCTGTGATATGTACAAAGTCAAGCCAGTAACTATAAATTCATTTAAGAAATGTAATGAAATAACTCCTGTGTATGTGTCACAGAAACAGAAACATATGTGTATACTTCTTATCGCTATTCCAACGCCACAAAATGTGACAAATACAAAATCAATACAGTATATGGTCTGTTACAGCGTATATTTCGTGTCCAGTCATCAATCTAGGTATGTGGGCAATTCATCAATTATTTTTTATTTTCATGGGCCTGACCTGGCATCATACCAATCAACAGACTATTTTAGGCTTTGACCTCCAAGTGTGATCTAGACCTTTGTGGTATGGGTTCAGGTTTTTTTGTTTTGTTTTGGGTTTTAGGTCACATCGACACAGTATAGGTCATATTGCGACGTTCCAGCTTTACTGGTGGATAAAGACCTCAGGTGCCCTTCCGTGCATTATTTCAGGCTCGAACGGGTACCTGAGTAGAACCACCGACGTTCCGTAAGCTAACTGGATAGCTTCCTCACATGAAAGAATCCAAAGTCCCTGCCGGGAATCGAACCCACAGCGGTGAGGGGCAAGTGGATGGGTTCAGGTGTTGCCCATGACATGTTGTCTTATTAATGTTAACATTTGTGCTTTGATTGATTAAAAAGTAATATACCACACACAAAATATACTCTAGAACAGACCATGTTAAGCTTTGGCACTCAAGTGCGACTTTGACATTGAAGGTAGGAGTCTGGCTGTTCCATATGACACACAGTGTCATTGTCATTATTGAGAATATTTGTAGCATGTAATTTCAAAATCCCTTGAGCAACAAGAGGCCAACATTGCCGTTGATCGCTCATCTGACCCATCAGTCATCCGAGCAATTACTTAGACAAGCATCCTGACCAAATTTCATGACAGTTGAGTCAAAAATGTGACCACTAGAATATTAACAAGGTTTTTCCATATTTGAGTAGGGTGACCTAGTTTTTAACCCAGGTGACCCATATTCAAACTTGACCTAGAAATCATCAAAACAAACTTCAGACCAATTTCCAGGATATTTCCAGCCACTTGATTGTTAACAAGATTTTTTTATTTTTAGCTCATGTGACATAGTTTTTGAACAAAGATGACCAATATTCAAACTTTACCTAGAAATCATCCAAACAATTTTCCTAAGCAATTACCAAAATATTTGAATCAAAACTGCAGCCACTAGAGTGTTAACAAGATTTTTCTTTTTTAAGCCCCTGTGACCTAGTTTTTGACCACAGACAACCTATACTCGAACTTAACCTAAAAATCATCAAAACAACCTTCCTGAGAAATTTCCAAAATATTTGGATCAAAACTTCAGCCACTAGAGTGTTAACAAGATTTTTCTATGTTTAGCTCCTGTGGCCTAGTTTTTAAACGGAGATGACCCATATTCTAACTTGACCTAGAAATCATCAAAACAAGCTTCCTGACCAATATCCAGGATATTTGGAGCAAAACTGCAGCCACAAGAGTGTTAACAAGCTTTTTCTATTTTTAGCTCCTGTGACCTAGTTATTGCACCGAGATGACCCATGTTCAAACTTGATCTAGAAATCATCAAAAAAACTTTCATGATCAATCATGATCAATCAGGATATTTGGATCAAAACTGCAGCCACTTGAGTCTTAACAAGATTTTTTCTATTTTTACCTCTTGTGACCTAGTTTTTGACGAGAGACAACCAATATTCCAACTTGACCTAGAAATCATCAAAACAATTTTCCTGACAAATTTCCAGAATATTTGGATCAAAACTGCAGCCACTAGAGTGTCAACAAGATTTTTCTTTTTTTAGCTCATGTGACCTAGTTTTTGAATGAAGATGACCGATATTGAAACTTCACCTTGAAATCATCAAAATTTTGCTCCTTAATGACCAAATTCCACGACATTTCAATTAAAACTGCAACCACTAGATTGTTTACAAACTTTTACATTTTTAGCTCTTGTGACCTAGTATTTGACCAGAGATGACCCATATTTGAACTTTACCTAGAAAGCATCAAAACAATTTTTCTGATCAGCTTCCAGGACATTTGAATAAAAAATGCAGCCACTGGTGTTAACAAGCATTTTCTATTTTTAGCTCCTGTGACCTAGTTTTTGACCAGAGACAACCCAAATTAGATCTTGATCTAGAAATCATCAAGCTTCCTGACCAATATCCATAATATTTGGTTCAATGCTGCAGCCACTAAAGAGTTAACAAGCTTTTCAATTTTTAACTTCTGTGACCTAGTTTTTGACCAGAAATGACTCATATTTGAACTTAAACTTCATTGAGACAAACATTGTGACAGTTTGATAATGATCCAATCAAAACTGTGATGGCTAAAGTGTTTACAACCTAATTGTTTTTTATGCAACGCACAATGCACGAAGACGGACGCTGGACATAGCCCCACTTTGTGGTCAGATGAGTTAAAAAAATACAATAGCACAACTGTTCTATCTGCAACTAGCATTTTTGCTTGCAAGCAATAAACCAGTGCAGTCTTAAAGGCCCATTATACTTCAGAAATATGATCATTTTTATTTCTCAAAAACTTCTTATTTTTGGTAACTTGTTACAGTTTTCAAAAATTACTCATTTGCCATATAAAAAAAATCTTTGCTTCCTTCGCGGTGTTGGAAACTGCAAATAATTATAGTGAATTAGTATTTTGTATGAAAGTCAAAATACTACTTTGTTTATATTTTGCTACCTTTACAACACATTACTACAAATTCAGCACTACTTTTATCAGTATCTAACATTGATTCTCCACTAAACATTCAAATTAGGCTCTAAGTAATAGTGAATAATTGACATTTGCGAATAGTTACCAAGACACCTTTTTTTGTTGGTTTAACTCATGTATAACATTGAACACATACTGGTTCTTTTAACATTTCACCAAAAAACTTGTAATATTTCCTGAAATTAAGTTACCAAGAATTCGAGATTTGTGCAAAAACAGATATGTTACCATTTTTCCAATTGCTTTAAGAGACTAGATAGAAATAATCAGCATGAATATACATGATTTAGAAATTTATTATCATTCTTTCATCATTATAGCACCAGTATATTTGCAAAATAGTATGCATCAATATACATTTAAAAAAAAAATCTACGCCTATGAATAGCTTGTGAACTGATAGCTGGTGAAAATGTTACATATTAATCAATCTTGTTTATTCCAAATAAATGATTTACTTGTAAAAGCATTTTAGGTCAATAAAAATACTGATGTTCCATACTTATCTATTGACACAATGTAGCTCGGATTTACTTAACAGTATAAATTTATTCTGCTAAGTGGAAACGAATATTAAATCATAGTAACGTATCTGTTTCACAGTTCTTCTATGAACAAAATTATGAAAAAAACCCTGAACACGTAGATAGATATTCATAAAGTTTTTTAAACAACTGACCAATAACTAATATGTCTGAACCAGTACTTTTAATATTAAACAGAACACACAATTTCATTTACAGTTTTGTTTTTTTAGGTTTTATTGTTTTATGTGTAGCTTCAAATAGTCAAATAACAGTGTGACTTTAAGAAACAGATTGAACTTAATAAGAACATTTGAATAAAGACACTCATCTATTAGAATATGTAACAGCTAGATTTAAATGCTAGTGTTTCATAGTGTGAATTGACATTCTGTATTTTGTTTGTCTTTTTGGTCCATCTGCTGTTCAATTATCTTTTTTTTTTCTATATACTTTTTCTTTATATACTGGTACAATCTCGATCCTTGATTTTGTCATACTTGGTGATATGAGTAAGCCTACATGTATATGCTTATCTACATTTAACAAAATTATATCAGAAACAATGGTACCGCTTAAAGAAAACCAACTTAGTAATAATCAATCCATATATATGTGCACCTCCAAGATTTTGAGCTATATCCAATTAGTCCATCCCTACCATAGATAGAAAATCTTGATACTACCCTGACTAAAATATAGAAACTAACGGGCATTCATTTAACAAGAGCCACCGCCAAGCGGGGGCAACGCTCGACTTTTTACTTTTTCTAAACGCAAACATAGAAAGGTTTGAACATATCTTAATGTTTCCTTTTTATAAATTAGTTGGTCTGTCTTGTCACATAAGTTTTGTTTATATATTTTGTATATATATATGAATGGAAACATTAAGCAAATTTCTAAAAATAGCAACATTACGCAATTTCTGAAAATAGCAACATGACGCAATTTCTTAAAATAGCAACATGACGCAATTTCTAAATAGCAACAATGACGCAATTTCTAAAAAAAGCAACAATGATGCAATTTCTAAAAATAGCAACAATGATGCAATTTCTAAAAATAGCAACAATGACGTCGACGCAATTTCTAAAAATAGAAAAATGGCGCATTTCTAAAAAT